CTCCCACTCTGAGCATGAATTTACCGTTCCCTGCTTTGGAACCCTAGCTGTGAATCAGTGCATCACAAGTTGGCTAAAGAGCACGTATAGACGTGACTGTTCCACTATGAAGAAGTGAACGCCATGAACTTTTATGTGCATTGGAATTCAGTCCAGTGTCCACAGCCCCTTCTTCTTAAGTCATTTCTGGGCTTTAAAAGTGTGAAACACTTGAGTACACTGCCTGCCTAATGCTGACGAAGTTGCAGTATTGTGCGCCAGTCGTGAGACCCAATAGCAGGCTTCCTCTTCTTCAACGCCAAGCATTGGTTCTGATAACGTGCGACTGTGGTAGGTTGGAGGCCTGTGTTACGAACCACTATTTTACGCGGCGAACATCAGATAGTGCAACATCGTAAAAATTGATTTGTCCCCATGACATTCCCATGTAAGAGCAGGAGACCTCAATCACGAGAACTTGAACCTAAGTCAGCCTCTTGCGTCGTTAACCTAAGGTCACGCCGTCACGTTTCTGAGCCAAGAGGCCAACCTTAGGGTGTTTGTGTGTGTGAGAGTGGTCGAGAGGAAACCAGGTGAGCGAGCGATACCCCTCAAAGACTACAACAAGTTTTTTAAAACCATCTATTATGTGCAGTGGGACGAAAACCTTCAGAAAATTCTTCACGCTGGAAACGGGTTCTCTCCTAAGTCCAAGCAAGACTATTTTTAGTGGGTTATCGCCAGCTTTGTCACCCACTGCACCCTATCCAGCCTCCGGTCACCCTGACTCTGCGGGGCCCAGAAGAGTGGGGAAGGGAGGGAGTGCAGTAAATACTGCGCAAGTCTGCTATCAGTATAAAATGATTCACGCTCAAGTCACCTTTTTGCACCCACCATGCCGTGCGGCACGTGGCGGACATCATCGTATGCCACTTTGGGCTGTTGTATCCTCAGCTTTCCCAAATACGTGCTGACAGCTTGAACACACCAAGATCAATAACCCTGAGCGGTAGGATTCATTTATTTAACAGGGCCTCGCTCTACAGTTTCAAAACATAATATTATTTTGGACAGTTCTGATCTCAAGGAGCGGGCGTTATGCAGACAGTCATCAAAGTCACAGTCCTTGAAGAACTGACGAGAACTGGATGCGATGGAGCTTGCCGCATGTCACATGATTGAGATACACACCCAAAACCATACTTTGACTTCCGGCACACCCCCTCGTCTGTCACTGGCTTAAGATATCAAGTTGTGCTCAAACATCTTACTTTTGTTCTTATTATCCCATTCAACTTCTCTTCCTGCATTTTGAACGACTGTCAGTCCAAAACATTTTCAAAAAGTATGCTTTAATTTCGCGCATGCAACGGCCATTAAAAGTAAGGTGGTCGACTTTTAAGCAAGAAAGTCCTTTACTACTTGGGGGGTGACTCTTTTAGTTTTTCCTCCAGCGCCTTATTCGCTCAAAACCCACTTAAAGTTGCACCGTTTTTTAGTTCCGCTGTTGACTCCGATGGTGTCGATTTAATAACCACTTTAAGTAAATTGACAAGAGAACTCGTTATACCTGTCCCTACGGAGGATCTGGGCGTGAAGCGCTGTGTGCGTTTCCAGACTCACTTTATTGACTTTGCAGGCATGTTCTTCTTGTGAGAACATCAAACGGATAAACAAGGAATTCAAATTAATTTCCAAAATAGACCGCATTTCGCTTGTACGGCTGGCAGACTGACTGAAATACTCGATAGTTTTATATCCGTCTTCCTGCAGCGGGAGTCTAAAATTGTGCACAAATCGTCTTTCTGCATCACCCAAAGGATTTCGCTAAATATGTGACCTTGGCACGGATGGGATGAGAGTCAGTTAGCAAATTTATAAATCAATCGATCGAGCTGTTTTAAATACTTTTCGTTGTAGACCCACGTTTGCATGACTCGGTCGGCGACGTGCAACCCACAGCTGTTGAAGGTTAATCTACAATTAACGAAACTGGGCGATGGACATGATAGCTGAATCAGCGGAGGCGTGTTAGTTACCTCAACAAATGCCTCATATCCTTCCACCCTCTGCAATAGCTTGCATGAGCAACCGGACGTCTACCCCCACAATGGTTGTAGTATTTTGCTCAACTATTTAGATCACACTTGCTTCTGCATTTCATCAACGACTATCATACAGTAAATTTAGGTAGTAGCTTCTGCTGAGGCCTTCAACAGTTATAAGATGTATTTTGTCTCGGAGAAATCTGCTCTATCTGTGGTCTTAAGAGGTCATTCCGAGAGAACCTGGTCTTTCCGACCTACAGAATGTAGGGTACAGATTTCTCGCGCGGTGTCGATAGTAATGCCAGTTTTGTGTGCGTGGTGGGTGCATTAAATTACGCCAGTTGGCCAGCAGTCTGAGTTTTGGCAATGTGGTTAAACCTATTAGGGGTCAAATCGTGCGTGTGAAGAGGTATTCTTTTTTTACAAGGGCACTGCACACAAGCAAGCGCACGCGACACTTCACGATGCCGCTCGCTGATTGGTCGCCCACGGCACAAAAGTATTTGCACGCCTAGAGGTCATTAATAGGCCATGAAGGGTCGCGAACGCGGTGTTACGTGCTCAGCGTGCTGTGTCTGCCAGTGTCAACTCTGGTTACAGGATCCAACACGCTTTTTTGGCTTAAACACCCACCCCTCCGACCGTGAGGAGTGAGGCCACCTGGCGTGAGTACATTTGAAATATGAGCGAGTTGGTTTGAATTCCAAGTTTAGGCGGAAATATGCGATAACTGGGAGGCGTAGTAAATTGACGGCGTTCTGAACAACTGGGTCTGCTGTTTAACGCCTGAACTGCACACTGACGCCGGATAAATCTCTCATTGGCTTTCTGCGTTGCTCGGTTTTGTCCTGATTGGTTTATTTTCCAAATGTCGACAACTGATTGATATGATAGCGGCAGTGGCCTCTCCTTAGAGTGAAGGTCCTCCGTCAGCTATCAAATATCTCATTATGTGCATAGTTGAACCGTCTGTGAACTAAGTAGTTTTTCTCTTGCGATGGGTGACGGGACGTCTTTGTTACTTGAATTGAATACTATACAACAAAAGTGCTCTAAGCATGACTCCTTTCGGCCACCAGACGCTCAAACACACTAAAGAGCAGTGCTGCTTGCTGTCACCCATTTAATCATTCACCTTTGATCCCATGTAGGACGACAGGGGTGCATATATTTTTCTTTAACCGAGAAGTATTGCTAACAAAAGCGAGGGCGTATGAAATTACCCTTTCTGGCCTATTCGAAGCTGTCGGTCACCTATGCTCCGATTCCAGACCGGAAGAGTAAATCACGACCTTGCATTCCGTCTCTTACGTGGCCTAGATCTGTGAACGGTACCTCTGTGCCTTAAAAATTCCCCCTAATTTGAAGAAAGGGATTTTCTTGATGCCAACAACTGTTAATGATAAAACACTAAGTTTGTAGATTGAATATCAACGGGGCAGGATTGTATGACTTCATTCTCCTGTCCTCTTGGGTACACTAACACCTTCTCCTCCCCCCACTGGCCCAGTCCCTACATTCAGACAGCACTGTCCGGGAGAATATTAGTCATGCTATGGAATTGGTGCTCCAACTCATCAGGGCTGCGGAACACAATCATACACGCAAACGCTTAGCGCTAGCACTAACGCCGACTCTGCTACCATCTTCGCGTGGCCCATTTGTCACCGATCTATGGCTGCTCTGCCACGCTAGTCATGCCAGCGCTTGCCATCTACTAGTTTTTAAAGTTAACAGATTGGGTTTCAGAAAGAAGGGCTTCGAAGCAAGCAAGATCACGATCCATGCGTGCTGTGCGGCCAACCATAGTGGCCTTCGACCCCTTCTCCACCTTGCGTGTGAACACGCCACATGTAAGCGGCTTTGCGTGGCAGCCACAGAGTCCGTATTATCTTCTCACCGTCTTCTTCCACTTCTTGTTCTTATAATTGCCTGCGTTGCCATGCCATCAGGAGCACAGGTTTCATTTTGGCAAAGCGTTGCATATCCTCATGGTGGTGAAAAACAGGAAGAGCGGGTGGCATACTTAGGCAGGTGCGTGTAGGAAGCTGCGTCGGCGAGGTCAGATTGTTAGTGAGCTGAGTTCGCACACATTCCTGTCCGCTTTTAAAGAAGGCCAACCCCATAAACCTAGCCGGCACCTGGCCATGACATACAATGAGCAAGGCTATTGTGTCGTTGTTGGGCTGTTCCGGCAGCACAAGAATACTGTCTGTGGTGTTAACTGTCCAGTAGTAATATTATTATGCACTGAAAAGCAGATGAGGAGTCACCAGAGCTACCTCTTTTGGGGAAGCTCTTTGGAGCGTCATAAAATTACTTGCATGGTTCCTACTGTCATGCCTTGTCTGGGGAGTTCTGTTATCGTCGTTTCGGTTAAGATCGTCGATCTCATCATTCCTTAAAGTACGGCGGATTAACTGCCACATTTCTAAAATATGCCACCATGAGTATGACTTTTTCTTTGGTGACCCCAACATCAACTACTACTACTACTACTACTACTACTACTACTACTACTACTACTACTACTACTACTACTACTACTACTACTACTACTACTACTACTACTACTACTACTACTACTACTACTACTACTACTACTACTACTACTACTACTGCTATTACTACTACTACTGCTGCTACTACTACTACTACTACTACTACTGCTACTGCTACTACTACTACTACTACTACTACTACTACTACTACTACTACTACTACTACTACTACTACTACTGCCACCAGTACAGCTATCGCTGAGTCACCCGTGTCAGGGCCTCACGACAAAAGCAACAACGCGACTCCCAATACCGCGCTCTTGTCGCTACCCTCTTTACTCAAATCTGCTAACCATAGCCGTCCCCCTTTTTTTCCTGAACCGTTCTTTTTTTCGTCCTTTGAAGTCCGTTCTGAAAAATCTCCGTGGCTAACACAAGAAAACCAGACGCAAGGGGAAAAAGTAGATATTTCATGACTGTCCCCGGCGGTCAAATCGATCCTTCGGCTCGTCTGAAGGAGGCTATGATGAAAGATGAGTCAGCCCGCACGTCTGTTACCCAGAAAACGCAGAATGTGAGGCTAGCCAGGTAGGTTGGCCGTTGCTGGGTGTGGCATGTGTCAACAGCAAACACACGGGCGTCGTGCTGTTCCTCCCGCGGACTGGAGAGAACAAAGGCGTCAGCAGCCCGCATAACTGCTCATCCGCCAATTCCTTTTAGAATGCCAGTCTCTCGCGTGCCATCTCTCGTGAGCAGGCGATCGGTGGGTGCAATGTCTCCACCGACTGCCGGCCCAGCATGTGCTGGCAGTGCCGCGTTTCGGGCCACGAGGCCTCGATGGCGGCGGCGGCGGCGGCGGCAGCAGTGTTTCTCGATGGCGGGCGGAAACGTCGGCTAACCTGCTGCTGCTGGCTGAGATGGTGTTCCGTCTGAGTGCGGGGATGTGCGCACGTGATTACGACAGGCAAGTTCAGAGGGAATGTGCTGTGCGTGAGTTGAGGCCTGAATCAACCTGACATGAATGCGATGTCGAATGATCACTGGTGCCGTCCTGGAAACTGCCACATTGACAGCGGGGCAGCTGGCTTCCGGCTCTGCGTATCTAGCAGAAGATTCGTGGCGCGGGCGATGACACCTGCGGCAAAGGCCATATCGATGCCGGGATATCTAATCACGTTCTGATAGCGTCCATCGCATGTGGAGTTTGGAGTCGGGCCCTGTAAGATTGTGTCTCCAATTCGCAAATGATTTACCACAATAAAAGTAATTGTCAGATGGAGTAGAGTTGGTTACCCCAGTTGACCTCCCTAATGCCTATAAGAGATCTCCCATCGCTGCCTATAAGATCCACAGCAACACAGACCAGCATTCAAGTGAATAATTCCAGAAATTATTCAGTGCAGGACGCGGAGTTAAGTCTCCGGGACATGACTTTTTAGGGTCAGAACCGAAATCTCAATGAATATTCGAGTCGAAGACAATCGACTACTGTGGAATAACCACTTAGTGTCCATTCTATAAACAAGTAGTACTACTAGTAGTATGACATATGTGTGACAAACGTATTATACCGTACTCGGACATAAGTACTAACCAAGAGCCCATTCACATACACGCATAGGCGCTAAAATCAGCGCGAACAAATGCACACACTGGGCCTGGAAACAGCAGCAGCCCGACGCACACACATACACGCAAACAGAAGGGCTATTGCGACCAGTTGACCACGCCACATCCTTCGAGGACTGCATAAGCAGCCGGGAGTACGGTATAGTACGTTCGCCAGACTAGCATTCAGTTAGCAAAACCCTGTCAACTAGCGACCAGATCGCCCTAAACTGCCTGTTCTCACGAAGTTTGATTGAAGTGGAGATGGCGTTACCACTGAGGGCTAGCCGATTTGCTGGGCTGAAAGTCACACCAAATGTTGACCTGCGCCAGTGGGTTCTTTCACCCTGACCCCCTCCTGATGCCCTACTCCCGTCTGGGACTCCAGGAAGTTTTACACGACAATTCGACCGTCGATTCCGACGACGTCCACCCCGTGCTGCACAGCAAGGCGCAGCAGGCACGGTGACTGGCCTACATAGCACTGCGACCGCAGCCTGACAAGCGCTTCAACTGGCGACGAGATTAGATGAAGGGCAACCGGCGAGTCTCTTCACAGCCTGTGAATACGTACGCAAGGCTTAGCGCGTCTTAAAATAAGCGAAGGGTTATCCGTGTTGTGGCGACCCTAGTCGTCGGGGTACTGCGCCAGGGTCAATTTCCAGTCGTATTGACCCGGTCTTGTCAGTGGAACTCAATGAGTGTTGGGCGAGAGAGTGGTATCGATACTGTCAAGGCCTCTGCCGCTACAAAAAAATCAGTACGCAACTCATCGATGTTTCTTCGGTGTAGGGAAGGACATCGGTAAGATGTCGTTATGCAGTCCCATCTGATGAGCACAATACTGTTGGGGTGGGGTTAGGATTAGGGGTTAGGACAAACGCGCATTCCCAATAGCGTTTATTTTGCATACAACTACTTGGCCTCGTCGCCTGTGCGTTCTCCGGCCCCACCTGTAAAAACCCTTATTACCACCAGTCCCGTATTACAGGTGACTGAGGTTTGTTTACTTCAGGTGGGGCTACATAACCACACCTGACCAGGACATCGCTGGAAGGAGGGGTGAGGTCGATAGATCTGCCGATGCATACTGTTTGCAACTACTTCTGCGCTTAAAGCAACATTCCCCAGCACTGTGAACTACCGTTTTTTCTGCTCCAACCAGCACCCAGCTCCCACTGATACAGTTTTTTGCCCAACAGGAATAAAAACAGCGGCAAAGAGAACAAGGTAATATACGGATGTATTCCTTGCCGCGACAACTGTCCACTCAGGTCCCCAATCTCGTGGAGAAACAGGATCACAAATGCGTGCTTTTTAAAGTAAAAACCGTTAGCTTGGCCAAACCCCTACTTTCTACTTAAAATCTTACATCCTGGGATATTAACTTATGCAGTCCCCATCAGTACTTTGGCGGAAGATCACCAGTAATAAATCAATGATGGTAAAATGAGGCTTAATTGATGGGGCCTTAGAAACCCTACCGTTTCCTGATCAGTTGTCCGGCCCTTCCGAAAGTGGGCATGCGGACTTCTCCTTAGAAGACCGGGGGGGGGGGGGGGGGGTTAAATTCAGCATTACATAATACGTCGAAACCTACACCCTGCGTTAAAATGATTTTCTGGCTTGCTACATAATTTTCAATCTTACCGTCTGCTCTTTTGGAAGGCTTCATCCGAATAACCCCTTCTACCACTATTCTTGCATTAGAAACGGTCTTGCATCAAAATGCTAGGACGAGGGGGTGTATGTATTAATAGCTCACCTAAACCTCTAACCCAGAAAAAGACGAAATCAACTCCTGAGGGACTGGCGACATGCATGTCTTACCAAGTACCACCGAGACTGTCTTTCTCAGGCGTCTCTTTATCCTAGCCAATCAGCTGTCTTTTAAAAGATGCTCAGTCATATTTCGAGATGCTGGGTCGATGACTAATTCGAGTGAGGAAAGAAGAGTGCCTGGATGGGTAATTTATTATTTTGAGTTTTCGGACTGATTATTGGATCCACTGCCAGTGGTAAGCAGAGCTTGCACTTTCTTCGTCCTCCTCTTCAACGGGAGGACCTCCTGGGGAGCACAACTCATTACCAATTCATGACTGCTAAGATTGGATAAGTTGGCGCAAATGAATGCTTATACAGATGGATATGTGGATGGTTTAGTGGGAATGCTAGTTGGTCGAAAAGACCAGTTGAAATGAGGGGGCCGGGAGGAAAGGGAGGGAAACGGTGAGATGGGGGGACCGCTGGAAGGGAGGGCAGGGGATGACGTCCTGTTTGTCGGGCCGATTACCTTCGAATGTGGCTTTTCGCAAAGGTAATCACATTTTCATCAACACTACTTCTCTAATTGTTCCCACTGTTGCTTATAATTTCACCAATATTTGCGTGAGCATTCTTTGACACTGAGAGGTAGAGAAAAAAACCGGCCGCAGTACAGTTTTATTAACCAGAAGGAATGCGAGAACCACCTGGATTTTGCAATATTCACAACCTTGTCCTTTTCGAGTCTCCAGTCTTGTGAAATTGAGTAGCCTTTGTCGACAAAGACAGGGATACTAGGACCGCAATTTCTGACTTATTTGTCGTTATCAACCAATGTTAACCCAACCGAAGACTGCATACCTGAGATCTGAACCCCGGGTCAGTTGGTCATCGTGCAAGGCCCGCACCACTATGCCACACGAAGTGGCGTGCGCCGATCTCTCCGGATTTTACGACGGCCATAGGCACTTCCGTCTTGCTTTGGAGTTGTTGGTCCAAAGTTTACGCAGGCGGTCAAATGACGATTAGCAAGCGGCAATTGAGATGTTTCTGAAACCTCTCAGATGTCTTTTGCTTCTGTCTCAGAATAGAGTTTTTCTCTGTCCATGAAGTCTGACATGCACAATTTCCCTCTCCTTTTCATTGTTATCAGTGCATAATACTTCTTTGAGGATTCACGCACGTGGGAATCGCTCGGTGTGCGATCGGGTTGCTGGGACAAGCTCAAGCGTGCGATTCCAGTTGGTTTACATCGGTATACCTGCTGTCCGACATTGAGATAGTTTCTGAAAGTCGCTCCTGACATCAAATCGCTTCTTTTCGGGGTATTGGAAGTCGATTCAACCTCCCTTGAGGTGTACCACAAATGCCTGATGACTTCTGTTAAAAGTGAGACCTAGTTAACCACACTTCAATGTAGGCAGTAATTTAGAGTTTGTAACAGTGGAAGACAACAGCAGCAGAGAAGATGAGTCGATGGCCGGAAAAAGTAATTGTGGCTGTGGGGGTTTTCGGATCCGAGCAGCGGCCCAATATCAGTGGCAGCGAAGAAACAGCAACAAATATGGTGCTTTTTATGGTTTCTCATTGTGCTTCGACTGCACGCGTCCTTTGACGGGTGGCGCCATCTGACGGTGTGGTGTACAGGGGGGGGCAGGTCGATGTGCCGGTTTGCGAGGTTGCTTTCCGAAATTCAGGGCTCCCACCTGGTTTTGTTACCGATCTGCGCCATTGTTCGTGCAGTCAAATTCACATGCCGGTCTGGACAGCGTCTTTGGGCAGTTGGCCACCCCCACTGAACCGCCCGTTTGCGCTTGTGTGTTGATCCTCCATGCGATCCGACTGACGTGAACAGTCACGGCATTGGATTTGGCAAATGACAAGAGACTGCTGACCTGCGTTCGGTGAACCCTTCATCGACATAATTTCGAATTTCGCTTCTGTTGACTCAGCCCCGGCACGGGTTTGTAGGGGTCGAACGAGTACAATGATTTATTCGGTGTTTGGCCCACCTTCCTGTCAACAAGAATCCAAGACTTGCATTTTCGCCTCTGCTCATGTAAAAGACAGTTGTTGTCAAAGGCCGTCCTCGTACATTAGACAATTGTTTATGCCCATACGATCGCCGGGCGAATGGGTTGAATCTGCAACCGCACATTTGACCTCTGCTCCAACCACTCAGGCGATCGGATCTCGCACCGGACGATGTTTATGTTTCAGACCGTTTGATATAACACTGCGCAGTCGGCAGCCGGATAATGATGATGAGATGAAAGATGTCGCTTCTGGGACAGCTGAAATTCTTTAGTCAGTGGACCAGGAGAATTATGTGCTCTTATTTAGTGTCTAGGGTAGGGCATGGGCATGTTTACCTACTAGAATTATCTTCCTACAAAGTGCCTTTTAATGCATTAAGGCAAGCACGCGACGCAAATATGGTTGTCGCCTTTATTTAAGAACACTTCGTTTAATCCTCTAAAAGACCCCCATTAGTCCCGTTCCTGTATTACCGGCGACTTTGCCATGGTTAAGGGGGAGGGGAGAGGAAGATACCTATCCGTGTCGGCCGAGTTCAGAAAAGGCAAAATTGAAAAGCCGGCTGGCTTTTTAAATTGAGCCACCATCCCCTTCCTCCCTTAACCCATAAACTCCTCTCCGCCCTACCATAAGAAAATTTGTTGCTTGGCCATTTGCATTTTTTCTCTTGTTTATTGGTGTTAATTAGTGATATCGACTACGCCCATGCGCGCTTGAAGTAAGTAAAACCCGTATTTTCTCCCTGTTTTGGAAAGAGATTATTTTCTTGAAGATTTCGTCCGTTTTAGGATGAAATCGTCACACTCACCCAACCTAAATAGCCCCAATATTCTCTTTTGAAAATAAACTCAAACCAGCCCTAATTTTTGGTCTAAAACTTTAAAAAAGAATTCGCATTAGTCCAAGAGTCTGTAGGCCTTGGTTTCGGAGGAGATTACTCAACTGGCATCTGTTCCAGGTCACTTACGGATCATTAAATCAAATCTGTCCTACTTCTCCCCCAGCTCGATTTGCTGACCCCAAGCCCAGAGTTCAGGTTTTTACAGTCAAACATTAAGTGAGCATGCGTTGCGTTCAGTGAACCTGTCTCTCACACTGCATTTCGCGTCACCTCTTCCCGATGCGCCTATCTAACTGGTATTTATTTCAAACTAACGATTTACCGAACACGTTCTGAACAAGATGCTAGATTTCACCCAACTTCCAAGTGTAGCCTCTGGGCGTCTCCACAGTTGCATTCGGCTACCAACACCGAAGGGATTTGTTTCCGCTCATCGGCGCCGTTGGCACGATGCATCTAGGTTTTCCGTATGTTCTTGCCTATAGTCTTGTTAAGCCGAGCTGGTCGACGGGTCGACCCGTTGACACCCAAATAGCGCCCCAGAGATGACCTGCCAACGTTTTGCGCTGATTTGGTGCAAATCTCTCTCTCACAGTTACATGCCTTTTCCTAGTCCGGAGTTAGCTGACGTCTCTACAGGCCGGAGGGCGGGGAGTGGGACGAAGTTCAGATTCGAGAACACAGCACAGGAAGAAGCAGATTTACTAGCGCCAGTCAGTCAGATTTGGTCGCTTGGCCAGCCCGTGTTGGTATGCCATTCCTGTCTGAATTCTCCAGCTACCTTCTAGAGTTAAATAATAATTTTAATTCTTTTTGCAAAGTTAGGAATCCTAATTATCCTCAGTTTCCCATGCTTTTCTGCAAAATTGGAGGACAAATAGTTTTACACATGAATGACTATTCATAGAATTGTCTTCGGAATTCTCCAAGGAATGGTAGGAATATCGCAGGAGCAACCTACAACACCACTTCCGGGAACCTTAATTAGGCTTTAGACTGTAAACCACTACTGTGTTTTCCAACTACGCAAACTGACACGCTTTTGCCCATAATTCGGAGAAGGAAGAAGAGTTTTTTGTCCACTAAGAAGGGCATCCCACTTTCTACACTGTGTAACATAGGCATCCTTCTTGATCACCGGAATATTAAGCGTCGCTTTTGCTCCAGCTATTTACTTTTGTTTTACGGTCTCCGAAGGACATACTAGCAGTAGGAAATTATGATTATGTTCGCAGGAAAATATTGTCCTTTCAGTTTCCCCGGTAGTCTGTGTCAGGAAACTTATGGAGGCTGAGGTATCAAACCCTCTAAACTGGCAATAGGACCAAAAGCAAGGCTGGCTGCTTTTAGCAGTGTGGGGCCACGAGCCAACAACGACTAGAACTCGTTTCGCGCTGTCGAGTAAACATGCCGGTGGGACTTATGACTTGGTCAGTTTCCAGAGTCCTACTGTAGCGAATCGCGTACCGGTCTCGTCCCGACGATCGATATGACGCTTGTGTGTGTATCAATCGAAGGTACTTGGGGTTTGACACACTTGGGGACATCAAAATCCAACTAATGTTCCCCTCTCTGTGGGCTTTTAGCACAGAGTCCTGTGTACTGTGCGAACTTAACTTTATCGAACGTATTAGTACAAATGCAACTGACAGGACAAGTTTTGCTTAAAAATGGGAATGCCTTCATTTTTTGGGATAGAGGATGGAGAGCAATGGATGAACTTGCGAGATTGCAGGAAGAACAACTATGTTGAGAAGGTAACAGACGGGAAGTTGTCAGCAAGAACCCATTCTTGAAGTGAGTCATCCAACACACAAAAACACTTTTTGATAGGCAACAAATGGGTGAATAGGCGATAAAAGGAAACTGGGAGATTTCAGTCATCGCCCCGACTTCCCCCAGGACGCCGGATTGTTTAGGAACGTTTCTTGCAGTCCAACAGAGCAATGCCTGGTGGAAGGAATGCCGACATGGATGAGGTGGACTACTGGTCATTTCCGGCTTATTTATTGTCACCAGGCCATTACAGAGCAGTGCCTAGCCAGAAAGACCTATAGTTTAGGTGTGGGCCCGGTTGGTTAATGAGCGTACTGTCTCCTGTTCGCGGCTACCGTGCGTGAGAGTATTGTGTTTGTTTCCCACTTTCATCCTATCCGCCGTCCATACCAACGTCAACTGGACTAATTATTAGTTTTAATCTGCAGATTATCCGTACTAAATACATCTTCTCACGGGAAGAATTATGTTATAAACATTCGAATTCCTCCCTCATCGAGTCGGTGGAGAACACAGGAGTTCCAGCCCGGCAACGGTAGGGTGGAGGATCCTACATCACTGTCGGTAGACTGTGGACCATATCAAAAATTAAACAAAGATTTTGAGTAATGGTTTGGGATAGTGGGAAGTAATTGTTGTTCGCAGTATAATATCTGCAACGGCCTACAAATGGATGTCAAGATGAAACCCCATACAACACGATCCACAGTCAACCGACAGTCAAGTGGGGTCCCTTACCCTACCGGTGCCGGATAAAAATGAAACTATGCCTTAATTTAGATGATTATTGCAGTGATCTCAGTGTTTTTCTTTTTTTACTAAACGGGATAAATGCGTGCTTCATTCAAACAATATGGGGACGTTGAATATGCAATAATCCGGCAACGGTAGGAGGTTTTGTCTTGGTATCCATGCGTAGGCCGTTGCAGACATTACAGTGCAAACAACAATTATTTCCCATGATCTCGAACCATTAGTCAAACTCTCCTAGTTTTCGAAACTTGCTCTTTTTGTTTTTTCTTGCACTTCGTCAGCCTACCGCCTGGCGCACTGCCCCACCCGTAAAACCCACATTATCATTATTCCCGTATGACATGATACTCAGACTACCGACAGTGATGTGGGGTCCTTCATCCCTCCGTTGCCGTCGTTGAGTAGCGAGTGTGCCTCAATAAGGGGGCCTTCAGCCGTGCGGTTGCAGTGGAGAAAATCTTGAAATCATCAGTGTCCATCTGGTGTCGCTAAATTGTAGCCCGAAGGAGTGAGAAGTCAGGTTCTCCGTTGCAGTTTTTAAACCGGAACTGTGCCATGGAACCGAAGGGGATTGGCAGACTGAAGGTGACCAAAGGAAGGCCATATCTCTGACGTCAGCACTCCTGCTCAAACTCGCGCTCTATTAACCACTGCCGATCTGCGCGGTCGGTTGACGCCTTACTGCTGTTCTTTCAAACTCCAGGAAACGCAATTAATAATTCCGTGGTTGAAGTCTCCCCAACAGGAATTAGAAAGGAAGTACTGATCGACTGATGTCTTTTTACGGGAAGTAGCATTTCCTGTAGCCTACTTTCTGCCCACATTCTCAGTCCAAAGAAGGAAATGTGGACGGATGAAACTACTTAATTAATAGTTTCTCAGAATGATATGTATTCCATGCAAGCTTGGAATCAGAATGTAATGCATGTCAAGACAGTGATTATAATGTACAGGGGCAGTATTCAGCAACGGTTTGAAATACACCCTTACCAACTGAGCATTACACTGAAAGTCTTGGGAGGCGGAGGAGGAGGAGTGTTCCCGTAAACGCCCAGTTTTAACACCGCCTCATGATGACGTACCTGACTGAACTCTTTTTTTCCTCCGTATTTCCGACCCCAACATCCCACCTTCTCTTCCTTCGTCCCTCCCCCCCCCCCAGTGCCTAGTCCTCAGGACCTTTTCTGTGGGACTGTAGTATTTCCTGTCAAAACGAAATGTACTAACTAGGATGTTGGGGTAGGCTAAGAGAGAGTGCTTTAGCTTGACTGTGAAAAGTTAAGGCTTTGAGTCGGAGCTTCGTAGCTCAGGCGGTAAGAGCATTTGCTGTACTAAGACTTTGCTGGGGGTTCGAATCCCACGGGGCCGCCGAGTTTTTCACAAGTGGATAGTCATCTAGAATAAATCAAATCTGCGAAACCGCAAACGAAGGTTTGTTTTCTTGAAGCGTTCTACTTGGGTGGCCTTTTTGACCCTGTATGGTCGGTCAGTCAGTCAACCTCAGAGCCCGGAAGTCGAATAATTCCGTCTGTCTGGCCTGCTTTTTCTCGGACCTCCAGTCTGTCACACCCACTGAATTAACAAAACGACTAGCGGGGATGCAGAACGAACATAAGCAGAGAAAAGAGAGACTAGGATTTTCATTTCTGGCTTATTAGCCGTCGTCAGCCGGTCATACTCAACCCAAGATTTTTGCAGGATCTCGGATTCCCACCTGGATTCCCTGGTCATTGAGTGCTTTTACATTCAACATTCTACTAATGAGCCACAGGCCGGTTGTCCTGTCGGCTGTGCTCGACCTATGGCACATTAATTCTTTCTTTTCTTTGGCACCCCTAATCCCACATCCTGCCGTTAGTTACTGCAATATCCGAATGGTACATGAGTACCTCCCTAACACTGGGCAAAATGCCTTAACCGAGTGAGGACTTTTCGGTAGTCTTTTGTAGAATAATTTTAAACTGCAATTTTATCCGCCCTTAGGGCTGAGCAGGGAAAAAAGGGATACGCCCACAGCCCTGGAGTTAAAATAACCACGGAAACATAGAAACTTTCAATTCTGTGTAGAAATATTTCAAGGAAGAAGTAGTGATTTGCTGGATGTATGAATCTTTTGGTTTGGCACCGGACCTCCGCCTGATTGCGCCAGAATTGCCAAAAGTCGCGTTGTAAGTTGGACAGAAAGCGACTGGATCTCCCAACACTATTACTTCCTCTGCTGTTGTTAAAATACTATTGTCACAATTTCCGCCTTTCTTCCGCTATTAATACTCGTTTATCATGGAAATTAGGACCACTTTATCCACGGGATTACCATTGCCATCATAATTAATATTGATTGCACAACAATTTTCATGACTGTCTATACGTTTGCTAGCATTTTTGCCTTTGTAATATTGATTCGGTTAGGTTTACCGATATTTCTGTGAGAGCTAGGACAAAACAAGGAAAATCATCGGCTGTTAGCGCCATTAATGTCGTTGCTGTTTACTTAATGGCTCACATTTCGCGTACAGTGCCCCAATAGGTGGGCCTACTAGCGATTTTTTGAGCGGGAATAAGTTAATGATGAGACAGACGCTCGCTGTACACACCTCAATCTTACCTCCCATGCCGACGTTGTTGTAGTGGCAGAACAAAGCGAAGGCGATCGGAGGTGGGACTGAGCGCGGTGGCTGAACAGCCGTCTACGCGTGTCACTTACTACTACTACTACTACTACTACTACTACTACTACTACTACTACTACTACTACTACTACTACTACTACTACTACTCCTACTACTACTACTACTACTACTACTACTACTACTACTACTATTTCTGTCGCCGCCACCACTGCTGTTACTACGATCACTACTACTTATGTCATCCCCACAGTGGTAAATACTATTTTGTCTTCTTCCTCTTCCCCTCTCCTTCTCTCCTTCATGCCACCCTTCTTCCCTTTCTGGCTTTCTGTCCGCTTTTGTTTTCCCCCCACACAAATTTACTTCCATCTCATGTACCTGGCCGCATTCAACGAATCCTGGCCCTCATATACGGTGAGTGACCGATTTCACGAAATGTCGGCCGAAACTCCGAAATGCGCTTTCGATTAAGAAGGATTACTTGTGATACTGATTCTCTTGCGGCATAATCCTATAATATTTCGGACTTTGCAGGAGGTCAGCTATTGAATGCACTTCTTTTCCGTTTCCTGCAAAAAGCGTACTCGACAACAAGATCTACTTAAGTAGCAGGCATTTTTCCCATTGATTTTCAATGGTCTTACAAATTCAAAAATATTTTTTAAAAAGCATTAACAAAAATATGCTTTATTTCACTCGATTGATGGAGAATTACATAGCTTTATATTTCATGCTCGTAGAGGGAGTATAATTAGGTTTTAGAAAGTTTTCTAATTCCCGAATAATTTGGAGCCTGATCGGCCGTTGCGTTAGCGCTAAGTGATTTCATTCTGCGAGGTGCATGCGTTCTGGGAAGAAAGCATCACATATTCTTCTATATCTTTAAAAAAATATCATATAGAGTCCATAAAATTTGCAATGGATGCGGAGCAGTGGTAAACAGGCAGGTACGATGCTGCATGAACGGAAATCGTATGGTCTCAGAAAATCTCATAATCAGAGTTTCTTAAACTCTAGTTATACCCCTTCCTTGAGCATAAACTACAGAGATGACGTGATTCTCTATCAAACGCGTAAAAATGATATTATTGTTAACGCTTTTTATAAAATATATTCCAATTTTTAAGACCATCGAAAGTCAAGTCGAAAAATGCGTGCTGCTTATGTAGTCCCTTTTTGTCGAGTACGGTTTACGCAGGAAATGGAAAAGAAGTGTATTCAATAGCTGACATTCTGCCAATTCCGAAAAATTATAGGATTATGCCGCAAGATAATCAGTATTACAACCTCGCATAAGTAATCTTTCCTAATCGAAAGCGCATTTCAGAGTGTTGGCCAATAGTTCTTGAAATCAGTTACTCACTGTAGGTGAGAATTAGATAAAAGTCACAGCGAGAAGGAGCCATTTCATCTCCACGCTCAAGTCTGAGAATGACAAGGTTATCCGTTAACTGGTCGCCTCCCTAGCCACGTCTGATGTACCGATGCAATTTCAAGCTTATCAGATTTATTATAGTGAGGAGTGCGCTAACGCGCCGTGAGGGTAAGGTTCGCCAGCGTCGTCCTCACCTTCCTTCCCTTTTTCCATGTGCCAGTCGGATGTCTGGGCCTGTAAAGCAACTGGTGTTGAGATTGGCCGCAATGGCCGACGGGACGTGAAAGTTCGCGCCAGTGGCCTGACTGATATAGGTAAGGCAGTAGTTGTGGCCTCGCATGGACCCAAGACAGGCTGAGAAAAGATTGCCGTGGAATGGTCTGGTACCTGAGGTAAAGGTGGATATGGTAACCACAGGCCATGGGTTTACTACCACGTCTCACGGTATTTGGAGGTCGTCACTCATGCTGACGTACTGTTATCTCCAAGGCTCCGTGCGAGGCGCAGTGTCCGGGCTTGGTTTTTGTCGTAGTGATGGCAACTATCTTTCACGCCCCCCGCCCCCCATCCAAGGACGACGCCCGGAGGCTAACGACCATTGCCACTGTCTTCATCGTCCACCTTTTTATCTTAGTCCCGCGTTTGCGTTTATGTAGCTTTTAAAGTCAGTGGTTGCCTCCTAAAACGGCCCATGCGGTAGATGCGCTGGACCAGCAGGGGTTAGATGGGAGTCCGGCAGGCGTCATCGGGAATGCCCAACCATAACAAACGTCAACATCGGGGTGTTGTTACACGCCCAGTTGCCGGTTCACTCTGCACCAATTAGGGTTCTTGCCACCCCCCTTTCGGCTGATAAGCCAGAAGTGACCATTCCAGCCTCCCTTCCCTTTGTCGGTAATGTTATTCTGAGTGTGGGTTTACGCCGTGCCAGGTATTCGCGTCCTCTGTCGCGTTTGGTGTTCTTGACTCCGCCTTGACGCCGGGTGCAGGTGAGGGAAGAGGAGAGGATGAGGTAGATGCTGCGCAAGCACGCTATAATTACAAATTGATTCATGTGCAAGCCACCGTCCCTGTCCTCATCCTACTGTAGAGCACACAGCGGAGATAGTCAAAATCGACGGCCGAACTGTCGATTGTCATGTTAATGTCCGCGACTCCGTTTATATCTAATTAACGATCGTGGCAGTCAAGGATTCTCATCTTTAACGGGTACTAGTCCCTTCCACTACAGGGCGTAGGTAGGTAATGCTATTTTGGAAAATGACTACCTTGATAACCCTGACGACTGCCGAGTTGCACAACAGGTCACGATTTTAGTTTAACTGCTGGACGATCCCAATTGGCTTGTGTCGCCCACGGGGTTTAAGCTCATCATCTCTACAGGAGCTTAAGAGCGGGGTGGGTCAAAATTGGTGGGATTAATGCCCGAGGCGAGATGAATGGTGAGGATACTTTACACATGGAATCGTAATAAGGAGAACTTGCGCATCACCAACATCACTCTCCCTTCCTGGTCATATTGTCATCCAGTAACAAGACCACATCATGGTAACTGTCAGAATATTCGTGTTTGGTGGTTCGCTTAGCGCTAGCCTAGGTTTACCTCTGTTCCACAGACCACTCTACACGCTCCTGATGCTGCAGCTACTCCTAATGCTTGTATTGCGAGTACTATTGCTGACTATACCACTGGTACTTCCCATACCTCTATTATCCTCACCGCTCCTAAAAATTCTACAAAGGTCACTTTACAATGGAGGTGCTATCTCATGAAGTGTTAAATGAAATTATGAAATATTTTTTTCCATTCGATTATGCTACTTAAGCAGGGTTATAATATAAATTACGGTGCAGTATAATCCTTAGATATTTCAGTCACGCCAGGACGTCGGCTTTCGAATGAGCTTCTTTTCGGCCGTCTGCAAGAAACGTCTACTAAAGCAGCACGCGTTTTCCGCTCATTTTCGATGGCCCTTATAAATTCAAATATATTGCACAGAAAAAATTCACAGAAATACTCCTTTTTGTATTCATTTGGTGGCAATTTGATTTATCTTCATACTTTCTACTTCAAGAGAGAGAGAGAGTATCTTTCGGGTAAAGTTCATATAGAACTCAAAAGATTGTGCGACGGATGTGGATCGCGTTGTATACTTTATGAGTAGCACTAATAAACGTTCTGATGCGATACTGCATAAGTTGACATTTCACGTTCTCAAAAAATTTCATAATCAGGAACCTTTAAAGACAAAAGATACTCTCTCTTTCAGCGGACAATTTAGAGAAGATGCAGTTTGCTACCAAGGGATTAAAAAGAAAATATTCTACGCATGTTTTCTATAAAGTATAATGGGCATCGAAAATCAATGAGCAAAATGCACACCACCTAGACAGTCATTTTTTACAGGGCGCGGATTTCGCAGACGGCCTAAAAGAGGCTCATTCAGCAGCCGATATCCTGGCGTGGTTGAAATGCTGAAATGTCCGAATCGAAAACATATTTCAGAATTTCGGTTGACATTTCACGAGTTTGCACATCTACTGTCAGTACTTGTAGTACTTTCAGTCCACTGTTGGTAATCCTGGTCCGTACACCATTGTTACTGCCACTAGTGCGGTAATGCTACAATCAGTACTGTTGTCGTGTTACTACAACCAGTACTACTCATGTTTTCAGTAAATTAAATATTGCTGTTATGTATTCGGCCTTTTCTGTCATCGCGTTTACCCTGATAATAGCAACACCCATCAGTATAACTACAGTAACCATTGATGTTTTTACTCTTTTTATTACCTTTAACCACCCTAGAGCTATAGCTACTACTGTTAGAACTGCTGATATTAAGAGCGTTTTTATCGCTTTGGGTAATATTACCTCTGCTATTAATGCTATTGCGTTCGCCATCAATGCTTCTATTCATAATTCACTTACCATAAATAATTATATGTATAATTTTGACCAGAACTGGTGCTGGATTCTACCCATTAAGGCTGCTGGTACTACCACCGTTAAGGGTTCCGTCACTATATACAAATCGCAGCTTTGCGACCTCAGCGTCAATAATGCTTCCGGAGGCTCTACTGTTTTACACTTTAGGATATTACTACCCACTTGAGCTCTTTTCTCACGGGCCCGGATCCGTCCACTCAAACTCTCTGGCCACCCCCACCAACATAGTAATCTCTGGACGGACAAAGTAGCAATAGAGTGCACATCCGCCTTGCGATACCGACGTTGCTTCCGGCCTAATAATGCCGTCCGCGCGGACGCAGCATACTCTCTAGTAGGCGGAGAGGTTGAAAGTTGATGTCAGGAAACTTTTTGCTTCTAGAAACTAGACTACGCCCTGGGCCTGTAAATCTTCCGCGGACTCCACAACAGGCGGATAAAACCACCGGCAGCGGCGAAAGTCTGACTTCTTGAGGTTTTGACCATAATAAATTATTTGTGATCAGTTCTCATCTGACACAGAGGATGCGTTTCCCCGAAGCAAGGAGCTGCATAAGTAAGAATTTGCCGGAGTCGTCACCGCCACCGTTGTGGTTAGGATCGGGCTCGATCGCATTACGTCTGCCAGTAGCAAGCGGACAGAAGAGATCGAGCAAGATCTTAATCACAATAGTGAGGGTGACGCGTTTATTTTACAGGCTTATATGCCTCACTTCATAAAGCCTATGGCATACTGGTGATTGGCAACGACCGTGAAACAGTTGTCTGCGTCTGGCCTGTTGGACTCTTAGTGAACTGTCGACGTATTATTGCGCTCTAAGTGTACGTGTAGCACTCTGATTGGTTGATCCAGTGCTCACTGAACTAGTGACCAATCTCGGGCAGTTTTAAGGTTGTGCGCGGAAACATGAACACCCTCTTATTACAAATGGCTTTGCCCTAAATTCCAAGGTGGTACTTAAAGTTATACTTAGAGTTGTTATAAGGGTTGAGAGGTTTGGGTTTGGGCGGGGTTAGGGTTGCAGTTAGAAGACGGGAATAGGAATTCTATCCTGGAATTTAGCGCGAGACAGAGGACCATATTCCCACTTCCAACTGGTTTTAATTACCTAAAATGAATTTCTTCCCTCTCCAAATTAGATTAAAGCTCGATTCGGAAAGGTCGTAGTTGGTAGCCAGGCATTACACGGTAATACTGTCGACGTACGTACTTGTTATTCGTAGGTGTGCTTACCTTGCTTAGGGCACTTGTTAGCAGTAGGTGTGCTCTTACTGAGCTAGGCAGGTCGCCCGTTTCGGTCAGGCTCTTGGGTTTAGTGAGGGTTAGGGTTAGGCGTAGGTTAAGTTTTACGATTAGGGTTTGCGTTTTAGGGTCAGGTTTCATTGTTAGGGTTTAGGTTCACGTTAGGGTTGTCGTGACCAGGCGGTGCGTATATGGTCTGTGTGCTACCGTCACCGGGTCAGATGCCAAGTTGAAGGAAGACGGCTGAAGGGACCGGAATGAGGGGTTTGTTGTGCACAGAACCCAGAGTTGTCCTCTCAGGCGACAGTGGCCACTGGCGAAGCCAGGACTGGTGTTGACTGCGTCCAGTCAGGCCTGAGAGTCCCTGAGATAGTGGTGGCAGCCGTTTTTGTAGGCTCGTGGGCCAAGCTCAAGTGGTGTCCCAGTGGCTTGTTTTGCTGGTTGCAGGAGGTGGCGCGTTCAAGTGGCCGCATGGGCAGCTGCGACTGCGCCGACGCAGGTATGCCCGAGCTGTTGATCGTGTGACTTCAGGTCAGCTCGTCTGGGACGGCTCGCTGCAAGGGGTAAATAACCTTGAGGCAGCGAGGTCTTGAAAAATGACGCCAGACCGGCCATGGTGGCTGGCCACTACAGGGTTACGGCTAAGGTTAAGTTTAGGGTTAAAGTTATGCTTAAGGTTAGGGTTAAGATTAGGGTTAGGGTTAAGGTTAGGGTTAGGGTCAAGTTTAGGGTTAGGGTCATGGCTAGGTTTTGGGTTAGCGTTGGGTTTTAGGATTTTGGTTACGTTTCGGTTTTGAGGCTTAGGGTTGGGCTTTACGGTTGCGTTCAGGATTGGATTTTAGGGTTAAACGTAGGGTTTAGATTTCTGCCATTATTCTACCCACTTAAACCTTCCCTGGTAAGTATTCTTTTACCCGCACATTTTACCATTCCTCTACCGGCCCTTCCACTTACCCCAACGATATAACCCCATTTCCCACCATTCCCGTACGACAGGGACCTTGTTGTCCATCTCTCCATTCCTTGCTACCAACTGCGATCTAACCCTCGATTCTAGGTTAAGAACCATCTTGGAATGACAGTGTTTCCTGAATTCCCTACAACCTTTTGAATCAATACTTTTGACACTACGCAGTTCCGTATTTTGCACAATGTCGAAAATGTCTTATCACACAGAGAACAAGTGAATCGAAAACGTGAACTTTTGCCTGTCAACGTATTTTCACTTATCACAAAATGCAGTCGAGCAATACACGCCAAAAAGCAGTTGACCGCATCGAGTATTTTGCCAGGCTTTTTATGCAGGAATCATAATTGCCTCTATCCAACTTGTGTTACAGCGCCAAGCGGAAGTAAGATGGGGAATATGATTGAATTACTTAAAGCTGATATAAAACGAGGTGACACTTAATCTAGTTAGAAGACACCGGTTAATTAACTTAGCCCAAGATCTCTAGAGTCGAGGATTTACGATCTCTCCAATTCATAAGAGTGAAGATTTTCCCTTTGGTTTTCGTGGGTTGGAGTGTGTTTCGAAGACTCCCGTGGTTCATTCAAGCGGAACTGACTTAGGTAGTGGCAAGTGATTGTATATGGCGTGGGAGAACACAATCAATCGATTGCTCTCATACCGGAAAAAATCCATGCAATCTGCCCTTGTCTTAAAACTGCCACACACCGGGCTGCATGAAAAGCTAAGTGTTACCGTACTTCTTCCCCGCAGATTTGGCTGTGTCGGTGGCGTACTACGTGTGGATGCGGGTCGTCGCTGCTCCACCGGTGACGGCAAGTTCTTCTTCCGCTGTTCGCCCACCAAGGGTCAGCCAGTGGACGCCCTTGGAGCTCAGATCCGACAGCTTGCTCTGGAGGCCAAGCAACGCCTTCGTCAAGAGCAGGCCGCCAAGGGACAGGCTGCTTTCACCAAGACGGTGCCCAACGGTTTTACCACAGCCATCGACTATCCTGGCGTCGGCGCCAGCTCACGACCTCCGCCAATTCCGCCCAAATCCACTCACGACGTCGTTGGGAATGAAAAATGGAGGCGGACGAGTTCAACTTCTCGGCCCGTTCTCCCACCGTCACCATTACCACAACTCCCTGCCGATGTTGTCAAGACGGAGAGTGCTGATTTTCGGGTGAATCAGGGTTCATCGGGTCGTTCAACCCCAGCGGCCGTATCCGATCGTGTCCAGGAGACCGAGATTGAGGCGGTGGGGAATGATGGGCGCCTAGAGTCAACCGAGGGACAGACAAAGTGTGGAACTACTGGAGCTGTGGAAACATCGGAGAAGAAAATGCAAGCGGAGGCGGATCCCGGGGGTGTGTTCATTGCGTCTCCGGGAAAAGCCGTAAGTTGGTGTTTACTGATTGTGCGACGAAGTTTATCTAGGTCAAGTATAGCCCTCTTCGCATGGAGAGTGGGTAGAATAACTTTATGAGCTAGTCTTTATTATTTGTAAACTCGTAAAAATAATGTCGGAAGAGCATTTGCGTGATGCATTATTATCATCAGTGGAAAGTCCAATCATTTCCCACAGCCGGATGCCGGCTTTCGAACGAGCTTGTTTTCGGCTGCATGCAACAACCATACTCTGTAACAATGACTACTTAAGTAGCATCCATTTTTCTCGTCAATTTTCCATGACCTTAAAAATTCAATTATATTTCATTGAAAACATGCGCGAAATATTCATCCTCTCGTTCATTTGGTAGAAAATTACCTCTTCTTATTTTATACTCGAAGGAAGGGCATGATTTAGTTTTAAAAACTTCCTAATTGTGAGATCTTTTAATACCGTGAAATGGCCCTCATGTAAGAGAACTTAATCATTTATATCGATCGTTGCGTCCAGAACCCCGAGCCATATTAATTGAGGATGGCGTTTATATTTACAATCTTAATTCTTAGAGAAATCAAAGGTGAAAATGCATCATAAACAACTGGCATTCAAATCTTATTAAAGACTGAGCTATAATTTTCAAACGAAAAAGGGCTTGTGACAATACAGTCGAAAAAAGAGATGATCACACCTGTCTGGGAAAGCTCTTGTATTGTGATTTCACCGAAACTTTCAGCCACATCTCCTTCTCATCGTTTCTCACTCGTGACTTTTACACTTGCTCTGACAAAATATCGCTGTGACAATTTGGTTTAGGTTTTGCTGTTTCCACGCCCTGTTCGAGTCGGTGAGTCCATGAACGACAGAAAACAGTTTTTTCGTTAACTTACGTTGAAGCATAAAAAAGGCTAGCTACTGGTGGTCTCGGCGAACACCCTTATCTGTTTGCGTTCCCAAACATGCCAATCTGCATTAGCAAATGGCGGAACGAGTGCTGTAATCACAGCACCACCCTTGGTTGGTATACAGTTTAAAATGGCTACTAACTTTTATGAGTAGGCGTTGTATATTTTTATGAATATAATGTATTCATCGGCAGACTATGGAGACCAACGCTGATGCCTCTGCTAACGATCAATGCCAGGCCGGTCTCTACGACAACGTTGCGCCGCCGGAACTCCCCGCCCCTGGAGCCAATTTTGTTAGCGACTTTGACGCAACCCTGCCCTCGAGGCAACGCTCCTCCCGTGACCCCCGTATAAGGACCTCACAGTCGGGGACCCCAAGTCAGTCTACGGCAGCATACCTGAAAGACAATGCAGAGCCAGGTCTCAAAGCCTCCTCCACATATGGGGGAAATTTTACGCATCCAGCATCTGTGGCGTCAATGCCCGCGACGACTTTAGTGAGTTTTCGTTCTGCCAGCACAGACCGCGTGCAAAACGGGTCTAGTCTTGGAGGCAGAATCAACGACGGGGTAGGGACAGGCTCGTCACGCGAATTCGGCTCCCCTACCTCCCCGAAAATTGGGGGTTTCTTTCCCCTGCGACCCGGAAGCTTGGCTGCTCGACGCATAGGTGAGTTGAATTACCTCTTTAGTAAGCACAAATTTGCGTCGGATTAAGTCAATCAAGCTTATCAACACGGCTTCAGGCCTAATGTAAAAGTAAACTGTGCCACTTATGACAGTAAGCAGAGGCCTACAACTCATAATGGATAAGTAGTCAGAGGTTGCAGTTTCAGGCCAGGTTTCTTTCTTCTTCCTCTTCTTCTTCTTCTTCTTCTTCTTCTTCTTCTTCTCGCCTTCTCGATTACTGAGCCGTGGCTGATTTTTGATCCACTCTATTTTTCCCAGAAAATGCGAAAAATGGCATCGCAACTAATGGCGTCAATACGAATGCCAGCGACCGTCAATTCGGCTACGATCTATCAACGCCTATATCACCGACTGACTCCTCGGCCGGGTCCTCTTTCTCGGGGACACCCAACCAACCCATACAACCATCAGGCCTTGGGGGATCAGAACGCGCCAATTCAGAATTACGGCGCATCTCCTTCACAAGTGAGCTCTCCAGTGTCAATCTGAAGGGCCTGGATGACGTGCTACAGGAGTTGCGCGATGCCAACGCAAATGTGACGGCCGCAGTGCAAGCGGCCGCGCGCAATCGACGCTATCAAGGCTTCGCGTCCTCCAGCAGTGCCAGCCAGTCACCGCCGTCGCGGAATACCCTACCGACGACCTTGTGGACGCCAATGAAACGCGAGAGCTAGGTCACTGGCTTCACATCTCTCCACCACTACATCCCCCCCCTCCCTCATTAGTCGACCCTTAAAAACGGACGCATCTTAATCTGTACATTGACTTCTGACCCTTTTGCAGGTTGGGAGAAATCAGCGTTAGTCCTGATCAACCTCCCCCCACCCCCCAACCTCAGCTTTTTGTCATTTTCCCCAATTTCGGCACCACCAGGGGCACGAGTAATTGTGTGCGTATGTGTGAATGCTCCTGCTCTTCATTGAGTATTTGTGCAAATGTGCGAACCACTATCGGTGAGAGCGTCTTACTACCGCAATGTTTCGAGGCGTTTCCTTCCCCAAAACCACCTTTTTCACGCACCTTCACATTAATTTTCCTGGGTGTGTGTGTTTTTCGACTTCTTTTACCTGCACACCTGTGTGCACGTTTGTGTGCTTGTGAATCTTGGCTTTGGCAGTTTGTCCACTCCCGTCACTGCATGATCCAATGACCTACTCCATCGGCGGTTCTCATTTTTTTCGAGTATCACGTTTCGTTTTTGTCCACACTCTTCTGTGGACAACTGGGTTTGCTTCGAAGGTATGGTCAAGGGCTTCTAAGGATCGAGGTAAACGATTAAACATCGGCTTATGCTCATGCAGGCACATCCGTTCTGTTTAAAAGTCCATCAGAAGACTCCATCCCGCGCGTTGGACAATGTTAGAGTAAGGCAGGACACGACATTCCGTGATGAGAACCCGCACGATGTAGTACGAAATCAAACCTTGTTCCGATGCAGAGGCAATTTACTCTGCTTCAGCAACTATGGAACGCAAATGTAATTATTGCAACTCTTATAGTCCGTGCTAATGGTCGTTCGATTAAGGCAAATTTTAGACGTACGAGTCAGGGAAAATAAGGAAACCACGTACTGGGATCACAGCTAATTCAGTCAACCGTACAGCCAAGATTAAATTTCGGCAAAGTTTCTTTAACCTGTACAGATATGCAGCAGATCGCTTTCTGGGTGGAAAATAGAGCTGGCTACTTCCTTTGGTAGGTGTACCGCCACCAAGGCAACGCTGTTTGTGTCGACATAAGGGCTATTTATCCTGCGTCTTTTATTCAACCTAACAAGAAATTTATGCGAGACTCGGACTGGAACTGCGTGCACGGCACTTCAGAGTCAACAGACGCCAAACAGACGAGTGTTTGTCTCTTATGGCTATTGGTACCAAATCTTATCCAAAAACAGACAGACTGTCATTAGACAGGGATTAATTTCGGTTGATCGGTGATGCCTTCTCATCGGTTTGATTCCTCCCGTTTACCATATACGCAGCACTAGCACCGATGTGAGCAGTTCCCGCAGAAGTCCGGTGCGTGCTGCGGGGATCGGATCACGCGTAGACGTGCCGTTCGCCTCTTTCAGTCACTGCGACCGAGCCCACCGTCGGTCGTGCTTACACGGTCTTGCCATCGGAGCCAGGTGGATGAGGGGGTGGGAGTGCGGCAGATGCTGCACAAGTCTACCGTCAGTAAAAACGCTTAGCACGCAAGTCATTGATGCGCACCCGCCCCCCCGTGCGGCACCCGGCGGACTTCGTCTTTCTTGACGGTCAGACCATCAAGTCAACATATGCGTGCTAACCATCGTAGGAAATTGTCCAATGCCTCCTGTCGCCAATTCCGGTCGGACTGTAGAGGACATGAAGAAGCCAGAGATGACTGCTGTAGTAAGGGTGGAAGGATGTCCTCAGAGATCATCGCGGCTGCTAGAGGGATGAGAGGTAGTTTGAACAAACAAAATGCACGCAAAGACGCTCTTTTATGCTCATTTAGCGACACCTGTTTTCTGCAAAGACTCATTACTTCGGTGATCATGCTTAACTGCCTGCAAAATAACATGATCACTTTTCACGTATTAAAAAAGCAGCATGGAAGTAGCAGTGCAGATGACTTAAATCCTAATTTGACCGAAAGAGTCGCATGGACGAGCAAGTCATCTGTCCATAAATGCAGTTAATTCTTGAAGGTAAATAAGCCTTGAAATTCCAGTCTTGGAGGATATACTACTCAACGAGGCAATGGTCGTGACGACTTTAGCTAGCGATTTCTTATGCGGGAGAGGGGGGGTTGTTCGGCAGGGAGGACGATGGTTTGGGTAGCAGAGGGGAAAGTTGAAAAACAATGAGAAAGAAGCGCACTTGAAGTGCGATTAGTGGGTCTTTTGACCGAACGCTGCGGAAGTCCTCCATAATAGATTTGAGACTGATGTTAGAGGGATGCTGACTGATCGTGTCACGGAACTCACTCGTCACGTTCTGCCTTGGGGCTCTCTCTTGAGGCCCGCCAGTAGCCGCACGGCGACGCGTGATGTAGGCAGAGTAGCACTACCGACAAAGAAAAGGGAGCGCCTCCCCCCTTACCATTTTATATAGTCGATCGCAATTGACATGACAACGAGCCCGTGGCTCAGTGGTCAGGGCGTTGGACCTTAACCAACAGGTCACTAGTTCGAGCTTCGGGGGTTGCACAAATCGGAGTCGAGTATGGCTGGCTGACGACGGCCAAAAAACCGGCGATGGTCATTCCGGTCTTCCTTTTCATTATCGGTAATGCTGTCCTGTCAAGATTCAAATCTACTGTGCAACAGAAGCCGAACTGAAGCTCAACACAGTACTGGATTAGAATTATTGCTAGACACGGGTCCACAGGAAAGATGAGGTGCGGGTGGATGGGGGAAATGGGAGAGGGAGAAATAGGAAATATGCAAAGAGAGTAATTGTGGCGAGTAGTATTCTTATTCTCGTTAACACCCTCAGACATTTGAGACTGTACATTGGAGGCTGGATCTACTGAAAAACGGCCGGAAAAGCGAGTTCATCAGTGCGTTTATAATACTCTCAGGGATAGAACTCACCATTGTGATTCCTATGCTGCACACGCAGTAAAGCAGCAATGGGGCTCGTTTTCGTTTTTCATTGGTTGTGTATTGTTCTTCATCTTTCTAAGGCAGGCTTTTTGATATATTACTTCCCACAGACCTTGATAGAAATATTTCTTCCAGATGAGTGTGAAATTGGCAATGCAGAATGTCTTGAACTTAAAAGCTCTACCCTCCGGTGACTTTTCGAAACGCCAGCAGGGTTTCATACGTTTAAAGGACGCCCGAGGAAACATCAGACTGTGCGCGCAGGCCATTAACTCGACAAATATACTCATATGACCGAGTCGAGGACGCTACGGATTGCTTAGGGAGTGTGAGCGAGCCGACTTGACAAGGGAACAGAAAAATGCATAAGAAAACAAGCCTTTTGCTCGGCATTCCCCCTACCCCCGCCAGTTTACCCGTTTCAACACTCAAAAATCCAATCTTGGAGAGACACTAGGCTGACTAACCACCGCCGAATTCGCATTGCCCAGTGACCGGGAAGACTGAGGTGTCTGTTGCTTGAAGAAGGAGTCCCGATCACTGGAACAGAAGCTTTATTAGCCTGACATTTTAGATTCTTGCTCCCCCCACCCCCTCATCAGGGATCGTTGCCCTTGGTGTGCTGACTGCTTCATGGCCCACATTCGCGCCGTTAATTGCTGCAATTTCATCACGTGCGTTGGGTGTTGGTGTGATGATTGCTCGACCATCTGACGCGCTGACCCTGGCGTTTGGAAAAGTGTTCAACTGTGCGCTCTCCGCGTGTCCAATAATTCCGCCTAGGCGAAATCTCAGCACCGAGTATGGAAGGGGAAGGTCATTGCACTTGTTAATGGACTGAGGGCCAGTAGGCCATGACTCAAGCAGCTCCCGGCTCACGCGATTTTCACCTCCTGCGAGAATTTCGGCCTCATCGAATTTGAATGTGCGGCCGGATCTCGTCGAATTAGCCGCAACTTGAGACCTGACGCACCGCTCTCCGCACTGCTGCAGCGTATTTGGCCATTCGCGTCCGGAGATGTCTTGCGGTTTCTCCGACGTAGTTGTTTTTTCCGCAACTGCACCAGATGCGATAAACGACTCCAGACGTTTCTTGCCGTGGCAGAGGGTCTTTCGGTTTCATTATCTGACGCCTGATGCCAGACGCCGGAACACACATCTTACTATGAAACCAATGTCTCTCGCAGTTTATGGATACGGGTCATATGTGACCGTCGTATTTCATCTACTACCTCCTGCACTTGATATTTTCTCCCCTATCACAGCCATGTTATTTTTCCCCGACCCAAGGGCCTTCTTTTTTCCGTACTGCCCAGTTCTGCCTTCGACATTCCTTAAAGCCCTACATAAACGCCGTTGTTTTCTTAAAGTGCTGATCTTAATATACCAGGACATTTGTCCTAAAAGAGGGTGGTGTCTGAACTTGAATACTGATGTCGTAAATTCGTATTAACGGTAAGTGTAGGAAAGTTAATGGAAAGTGGTCAGGTTGTTTCTGCAAAACAAATGTAAAAAACGCTCTTGTAGGCGGCAGTGAAAAAATCTGTTGGACATTCTTGATTTTTCATCTAGCAGAAAAGCTTTGCTAACCGTCACATCGAGGTTTCATATTAGTCCTCCAAACGCACCGGTCCGTCTCTGCGATTTTACCGTTGAAAAGGAGGACGAGGCATTTCGCATCTCCAGGATGGAACTCCGGGACTGATAACAAGATGCGAAGTCCAGTCCATATCCTAGTCTGTACCTTCATTCATAAGCCTACATTCGTGTGCGGACATATCTAGCGAGCTGCCACTTCCTATTCAGACCTCAAAATATTACTCCTACTACTACTACTACTACTACTACTACTACTACTACTACTACTACTACTACTACTACGACTACTACTACTAATAATAATAATACTACCACCGATACTGATGGTCTTACCAGTGCTACTACGACTACCACAGTTGAGAACTTGACGGTCGTTTCCGACGATGTCCACCGTATGCCCGATAGCATGGCGGATGCGGGGACCGTGACTTGGGCGTGATAATGGACTTGCACGGCATCTGTCGCGCCCTCTCCGTACTCACCCGACTGGGCCCGATGTCA